TTTTATTAGTTGCGCTTTGTTTTTTTTTTTTTTAAAAAAAAAACAAGTTATACTTGCTTTGATATTTTATGATAAAGCAAACAAAGTGTACTCCGGACATTTATAAAAATCATTTCACTGTTAACAGTCAAACAGATGACAAATGAGCAGCAAGCTAATTTTTCAAGCATTGTGCTTTCATGGAACATGTAACAATATCTGTTAATTGACAATATTTTATAGATGAATATCCTAAGTTGCATATTCAGTATTCAAAACAGATAAAGAATGACAGAACAAAGAGACACAATCAAAGGACCCACAGAGCCTTGAATAAACTCCCCAGATCTGGGGATATTTTAAAATACAGTAAGAGCAATCATTTTTATGAATTTACTTTTAATTCATTTCAAATTAAATTTAGATATCTACTTTATTTTTATTTATTATTATCTTCTTTATGGAATAATAGCCTTCAAGTTTGCAAATCCAAGTTCAAGTATAATTTTGACACCAAAAGTATCAGACACAAGTGGCACCAACTTATCACCAACTTTTTGAGAGTTGGACAGCTATATAAATTTGGCAAATAAATAAAATGAATACTTCTTACCTAGAGTTAGTCTGGTAATGAAAGCAGCATGCAACCCAGTCAATAAATTACACATCCACTTATTTATCCTGGCAAAAATATGGGAGTTCTTCAGGATTGTTTTTAACTTTCTGGTCTGGGCTATAATTTCGAAATTTCCTGGTAGCCTTCAATCCAAATAGTAAACTGGTCTTATTCTGCTGTGTGCTGTCACAATGCGGTAAGTCAAGCTGTGGGTTGTCCTCAACTTACAACCACAATTGGACTTGAATTTCCACCATAAGTTGTTGTGGTCATAAGATGAGTAATTTTACAACAATTTTGTGATGATTGCTAAGTAAAGACAATTCAGCACGGTCATTAAGCCAAATCACACAGTTGTTATCACATGCCTTACAGGGTACTGTAAATGGTCATAAATGTGAGCCAGTTGCCAAGAACCCAAATTGCAGTCATATGACCATGGTGATGCTGTGATGTTCATATATGCGAATAGAGGTCATAAATCATTTTTTCCCAAGGCATTTGTAACTTTGAACCATAATTAAACTGTCAGAAGTCAAGGACTGCCTATATAGTCTTGGGAACTATATGGAAATAGTTGTTTGTTTAGTTAACAGTGTGGCTTTAATTTGCTCTCTTACTTATAAGATTTTTTTTCCTCATAGCCTTTGGATTTCCTGGTGGTCTCATATCTAAGTCTGACCCTGCTTAGCTTTTTCAAAATCAGCCAAGTATGCAAGGCTGTTACTTGCTTTCAAAGTTCTGAAAAATCTTAGCAAATAAAAGAGTGCTGAAATGATAGAGAACTAAATTATCTTAACAAAGCTGTGTGGAGATGAAGTGTGACGATATGACTGATGATATATGCATATTTTAATATCTGGGCACTTAATAGGAGACATTATAATCAACAGTTTGAAGGCAGATTTAGACACCATGGAAATCTTTGCTTTAAAAGAAGCATTGGGTGCAGTGGCACTTCGTTTGCATGAATCTTAAGCAAAATAAAATTTAGGGCCCCAAAGTTAATTAATTTCTACTAATAATGTATCACAATATTTAAACAATTTACAACAAATGATTATGCACTTATTAATTGCACAAACTATTGTTGATAATAAATAGTTAATATCTTTACAAACAATAACTTTTGTATTAAAAAATGTCTGTACTTACGTGATTAAAAAAGACAACAGATCAAATTATATGGCTAATTTGGAAGAATCTTTAAAAACTGCAGTTAGTTGCAGAGTTGCAAGGATGTCAGTGGCTATGCATAGGACCTTATGGCATCTGTTTTACAAAATCTGTGCTTGTTATTAGTTGAAATATGTCTAACCTTTCTAAAGATATTTTTATGGAAATAATCCTAAAGCCGGAGTTATAACACAGTGCTGGAGAAATATTCCTTCTTCAATAGTGTTCACAAACTTCTATAAATAAATTAAAAATATTCTTTTTACATTTTTTTTAGTAAATAGGAAGACATAGACTAGGTTTTCAGACATAACTGGACTTATGTCACATGGTAGCATTTCCTACCAATAATAATTATAGCACTGGTCAATTCTGAAAATTACAGCCAGAATGCCACAAGCACAAATAAACCAGTTCTACATAAAGAGCCACAAGAATGCTTATATGATTCTGTGGAAGCTAGGATCCCTAAACTAGAAACTATTGGGTAAGTCAGAATATTCGAAATTCTGCAAATCCCAATTCCTGCAAAAAGAAAATATAAGGAATGCTGGAGTGCTCATGCAATAGGCTGTGGTTCTCATGAGAATTTAGCCTGCATCCCAAAACTAACAAGTACCTGCAGTACATTGGAAGCAAGGATGGTTTGCAAGGATAGAAAGATATGGAGAATTATAACAAATTGGATTGATATTTAATGTATTTAATTCATCTTGCTTGTTGTTTTCTACTCTTTTCTCTCTTTTGCATAATACTGCTTGTCACAAATGAGACTAGCATGGGGTGTGTATGTATGTATGTATGTTGCTTAAAATAATTTTTAAAACTGAAAAAATTAAATGTGGCTCAGCTCTCATGAGAACCACAACCTATTGCATGAGCATGCCAGTATTCCATGTATTTTCTTCAGGCTTGCAAAAATTCAGAATGGGATTTGCAAAATTTCAAATATTCTTACAGATTTTTGAAGAATTACTTTAAAACATCTAGGCCAGCGGCCTCCAACCTTTTGGCATTAGGGACTGGTTCCACGGAGAAAGGTTTTTCCGTGAACTGGAGGGGATATGGTTTAGCATGCTGCCTGCATCCTGTGGATGGAGCTTTGCTTGTTTAGGTGGCCTGGTTGATGGTATGCCATGGACTGGTACCAGTCCACGAACCAGGGGTTGTAGACCCCGATCTAGGCCATAATAGTGGAATGACTAACGGTAGCCACAGTTTATTAGGATAGGCAACCCAGATTTGTTTTCTATTATTATTTCTATGTGGAAGTTGAGAATTTTTCCTAATCCACTAAGATTCTCCTGAAACTTTCCTGAAGTTTTGTATTTGACATTTTTCACCATCATTACACTGAGTTTAAACAGGAAAGTATTGATTAATTTTTCCAGTGTAGCTAGTCTCACTTAATAGCTAGGTAGTTCTTTTCATTTTAATACAAACATGCAGTTTTAATTTAGGCATACTTGGAAAATCATTGGGAACTTAATATTACTTGCAAAGTTATATACTAAACATGTAAGCTGATAGTTTGCAAGCAGAAAGCCAAATCCAATTACTATAGGTTTGTTTGTTTGTTTTTACTATCAGTGGTTTTGGATTACAGCTGAAATTACTTACAAGGCATTGTCTCTCAGAGATAATCCAAACTTCCTGGCATATACAAGGTTGCTCTGCAGATAATGATATTGTGAATACTTGGTCTTGGGTCATTTTAGAGCCATTAAAGAAATAAGATAAGTGTATGTGTTTCGTATTGTGGTTCACACTGTGCATTGTATTAGAAATCAATTTGGTAATTTCTATATCTACTCATTAAGTAAATTGGCACAATTGCAGTAAAACTAATAGCCCCCCAAATATATATTGTAACTTAGTATTAAAAGCGCAGATATGATATATGAGAGAGATGTTCAGATGTAATAAATTAGTAAATCATTATAGCTTGCCTCTTTACTGCTAAAATATATAATTTAAATAGTAATAAAAAAGGACGTAAGTTTTTACACCATGGCATGCCTTGACTCATCAGCCTTTTCCCTAAAGCTGTTTATGTAGAAGAAAAGCTGTATCAATAGCTATTTTTTTCCTGACACAATACCAGCTTTGAGAAGGAAGTTTTCAAAAGGAGCCTAGTATTAATCCTCTTCCTACATACCGTAATTGAATCTTTTATCTCCATGACTGCTACTTCTTTATAAGCAATAATACATTTCATAGTTATGTAATTCCCTCTCAATATCTTGTTTTCGAGTACATTGGACGGGCAAGCTGTGGTTAGCAAGGGTGTGTGTGTGTGTATGTGTGTGTGTGTATGTATATATATAATATATATGTATATATATAAATATAAATAAAATAAAAGGGGGTCTGAAGCCAGGATAACAGCATGTCTTAGAATTTTGGATATATAATGTGATTTGGTTTTGACTTGTATTACTGTATGGTGTTTAATATATATATCCTGTATATATCCTTTAATATATTTTCTACAGTTATTATTAATGCATTTTTTATATTATTCCAGAGAACATGGCTGTTGGACATGAAAAAGAGAGCTTGTGTAAAGTAATTTGCTTATTGGAAGCAAAATTATCAATCACAGAGTTGCATTTCCTTTTTCTTATTGGGCTTTCTTCTTTGCCCTTACATATGTGAGGTCCAGATGCCTATCAGATTGGACATCCAAACAAATTATAGGCTAATGCTTTTAACCATAAGCCTCTTCAATTTGGGATGATTATAGAAAATACTTGCCAAATTTAATGAGTGTCTGAAACAGAATGAAATGGTTATCTTCTTTCAGATTATAATCAGAAGAAAAAGCATATTTTAAAATTCAATTTATTGGACAGGCACCAACTGAGATTTGCCAGTTTGGTCATTTTAGCACTATAGTATTAAAGCTAATAGAAACAGAAGAAAAATGATGTAAAATAATAGCTATGAAATATGTGAATGTACAGTTTGATGACAGTTTTCTGAACTGTAATATGTCCTAACCCAAAATATGAGAAACAAAGAATAAACCAACAGAACAAAGCTTAACATAATATATGAAATAAACTTTGCTCAATAAATTACCCCCTTATTGATCATTAATAATGTTGATATTAATTGTGCTTTGCTGATTTTGTTAGTTTCTATTTTGGTTGTTCAAATTTCTTTACTAATCTACTATACAAATCATATCCTGCATGAAATTTATTGTTTGTTTGTTTGTTTTCAGGAAATGGGTCTTGAGAGTTAATGAGTCTGGATAAGACGCATCAATGTGGAAGCATCTGCTTCATACGTTTTAGGGACAGATCTCTGGAACAGTAAAGAATAAATAAAAACCCTTCCAGAATTGCTGCATCTCACAATGAAGAAAATTAGTCTCAAGACCATCCGCAAATCTTTTAACTTAAATAAAAGTAAAGATGACAGTGACTTTGTTGTGGTTGCACAGCCATCATTAAATGATTTTGGAAAAGATGACTCCATGTTTGCCAGCTGTTATAGTAAAGATTTGGCTAGTTGTGACATCAACAGTGAAGACGAGAAAGGTGGCAAAAGCAGATCAAAGACTGAAAGCTTAATGGGTACATTAAAAAGACGACTTTCAGCAAAACAGAAGCAAAAAGGTGGAAAGGGGAGCACGCCATCCGTGAGCTCTGCTGATGAAGATACCTTTTCTTCTTCTTCTGCTCCAATAACTTTCAAAGATGTAAGAGCTCAAAGACCTCTTCGATCCACATCCCTCCGAAACCACCATTACAGTCCAACACCATGGCCCCTTCGGCCAACAAACTCAGAAGAAACATGTATAAAAATGGAAGTGAAAGTAAAGGCCTTGGTCCACTCTTCAAACCCAAGTCCTGCACTGAATGGTGTTCGTAAAGGTTTCCACGACTTGCAGCCAGACAGCAGGTTCCACGAACAAAACAGTGCATTCAAAAGTACAGAATCTCAGAATGGAGATTTGCATCTTCATATTGATGAACACGTGCCTGTAGTTATTGGACTTATGCCTCAGGACTACATTCAGTACACTGTGCCTTTAGATGAGGGAATGTATCCTTTGGAAGGATCACGTAGTTACTGTCTGGATAGTTCCTCACCCATGGAGGTTTCAACTGTTTCTTCTCAGATGGGTAGTAGTACATTTCACGAAGAAGAGGGTTCAGTGAATCAAGACGTAGTAGTTGCTCCGGATATCTTTGTGGACCAAGCAGTAAATGGTTTATTGATTGGTACAACAGGAATCATGTTGCAAAGTCCAAGAGTTAATGATGTTCCTCCGCTCTCGCCATTGCTACCTCCAATACAGAATAATCAAATCCAAAGGAACTTTAACAGCCTGAATGGCACAGATGTTCATGTGGCTGAAAGTATGCGCTGCCATTTGAATTTTGATCCTAACTCTGTGCCTGGAGTTGCAAGAGTCTATGATTCTGTACAAAATAGTGGCCCGATGGTTGTAACAAGTCTCACAGAAGAACTAAAAAAACTAGCAAAACAAGGATGGTACTGGGGTCCAATTACACGATGGGAAGCCGAGGGAAAATTGGCTAATGTTCCTGATGGTTCATTTCTTGTGCGAGACAGCTCTGATGACCGTTATCTTTTAAGTCTGAGTTTCCGTTCTCATGGTAAAACACTTCATACTAGAATTGAGCATTCAAATGGTAGGTTTAGCTTTTACGAACAACCAGATGTGGAAGGACATACTTCTATAGTTGACCTAATTGAACACTCAGTTAGGGACTCTGAAAATGGTGCATTTTGCTATTCGAGATCTCGATTACCTGGATCTACAACTTACCCAGTGAGACTAACCAATCCAGTATCTCGTTTCATGCAAGTGCGTTCCTTGCAGTATCTGTGTCGATTTGTTATACGTCAGTACACTAGAATAGATCTGATTCAGAAACTGCCTTTGCCAAACAAAATGAAGGATTATTTACAAGAAAAGCACTACTGAAGGCTTATGGGAAACTTGCAGCTTGCACTTTGGGAATAAGAACAACAACAAAAAATTAAAGAGAGCGGTTGATACACAGTTTACAAACTTAATTATTACTAGGGTTTTTTTGCTGCCATAATTTCATTTTTGTGCATAAAGAAGAGTAATGCATTTTGAGTTTAATGATATTTGGGGGTTTTCTTTTCTAAAACAATGATGTCAACGGGTTTTTTAGAAGAGTAAAATAACTATCTTTCATTCAGTGTGCAAAATAACCACAATGTGAATGATAAACATTGTCCTTGAACTCCCCATCTCCTTTGCTGCTAATCCACTGTGATTTTTATGCATTTGAAGCACATTTCATGTGTTTTCAACCATAAGTAAAAAATTGAAATTTGATAGGATATATTTTGTCGTTTTCAAATGGTCTGGTTTTTTTTTTTTTTTTGGTTTTTTTTGTTAATTTAAAAAAAATTTGGGGTAAAATATACTGATGTACCGAACTTGGATATATGCTTAAAACAATTCCCTAACTGTTGGTTGGAGGGAATATGTGATCCAATACAGTTTGCATCATATATTTGGAAAGCTTCCTTTCTCCTAAGCAGTTCCATTATTGCAGATGTTGCTTTGTTTCTTTTTTTCATTCTTAAGCATTTTTAATTTGAAAATAGCCGTTGAAAAACATTTGTAAAATAAATACTGAAAGTCATTAATAATATTCAGACAAAAGCTAAACTTACTTAAAACATTTTAAAAATATTTGAAGGGGTTATAGAAATCTGATTTAAATAAAACTATTCAGGTAACTTCAGAACTGTGAGATTTGTCCCCACTGAAACTTTAAAAATATGTGGCATTGAATTTAAAAGTACAGGTAGTCCTTAATTTACAACCATTCATTTAGTTATGATACTGAAAAAAAAAAACAGACAGCTGGTCCTTGCAGTTAGGACACACCATCCCCATGGTCACATGATCAAAATTCAGTTGCTTGGCTACCTGTACACCAGTATATTTATGACATTTATAGCATCATGGGGTCATGTGAATGCCATTTATGACATTTGTGTCATGGGGGAAGCCAGATTCTGTTAACAACTACATGGGTTACTTAACTGTAGTGATTCTCTTAATAAAAGATAATAACAAAAAAGATAACAACATTGGGCAGAACCACTACCTTGTTTATTAACAGAAATCTGGTTCCAGTTCTACCTGTATCCTGCAATTACTACCAACAATTGGATCTTAAACAGCTCATCTTAAAGGGAATTTAAATTCCATTAATTTCCTTGGATGAGTTAACCACATGTATAACCTTTTCCCATGGAAAATGATAAGATTAAGAAGTACTTAATTTTGATAGAATATGGCCTCAGTTTTAAATGTACTTTATTGTTCAGCATTAATTTTCCATCGTTATAATTTAGTTTAATTGGCAAGTGACGAGGACCTAAATTAACCTCCGATTATTAATCTTTAAAATAAAAGTGCATGTTTTAAAATTAAAGACAATGACATTAAATAGCAAAATAGTCACCATAGGAAATATTCAAATGGGTTACCACTTTCATTTCTACAAGTTCTTATGTGAAAAAAGGAAAATCCATACAATTTTGGATACTTGTAATGGGATAATCTGCCAGGAACAACGGGATTTCCACAGCCTCAGTATATTATTTTCTCTCACTTTAGTGGGGTCTGCATAGGAGAAATTTCCAATGAATTGGAAGGCCTATAAATGAGGCTGTTTTACAGCCTTGACTCAGTCTTGACAAAGGCCTTCTCCTGTTTTGATGAAAAATTGGGGAAAGTTGATGTTAATTGGCTGCATTGCCTTCAGTAGGCTTTAAGTCTGATGGTGTTGTTTTGTGTATGTTTTTGTAGAAAAAAATCCAATACGTTTATAAAGAATTACAGCCTAACTGTTTAAAAATATTTGTGGTCAAAAGACTATTTCTGCAAGTTTTTCCATGATGAACATTATACTGTGGAGGCAAAGCATTCTTACGTTTATAAGAATTTCTGTGAACCAAAATCTTAACAAATAGGAAATTGTATTCTGAAATTTCTGAATAAAATCATGCAATTTGAGAGTGTGGTTTTAAAGTTACAGAAATTAGTTTGTGCCACTGCGATGTGTCTTTCATTTTTGTTTGCATTTTCTCATTTGAATACTGAATATTTTGCAGATTATTAAAACATTTAAAGGGTGATGAAAATTTGAGAAATCTTTATTTTAGGGTATTTCACTCCTGCGTCTTCTACCTTTTTTGTGGTTTTTCTGAATTTATACAATTAACATATGAAAGTGCTGCAGTGGCCTGACATCTTGGGTTGTGTAAGTCAATATGCTAAATTTCTATTTTTTTAAAAAAAATATTTTTTAGATCATAAAAAATGAGAGTATCGGAGACAAAGTATGTCTTTTGCTCTGGGATATAGAGGGGGGAAACAGCTCTCTTACTAAGTTACAGAATAATAGATTTTGAAAAATAAATTATATAAAGAGAGATGTTCTTAAATTCCTGGGCAAAATTTTTCTATGTGTGTATCTTGGCTTTGCCATTCTGATATTTATGCAAAATCTTCATTTTTGTTTTTTTTTACTTTTTACTCCCAAGCAAGATTACAAATTTTATATATAAAAGGCACAATGATATATGATGGTACCATGTTTTGCCTAGTGAAGAAAAGGAATTTTTTTTCTACAGTAGGAAAGTACATGTTAGAGTAAAATCCTTGTCTCTAGGATATATCAAATAAAGGACTGTTTAGTTAGTGGTAGATGAAGAAAGTTCTCTGGAGTAACTAATGTATATTATGACAGTTTTTTTTAAAGTCCCAGTATTTAACAAAGAATGATTTGAGGAACTATGGTGGTATTACAATTCCATATTTATATTTTTAATAGCCCGATCATATTTCTGGCTGTATGGTAGACACTGAACCTGCTTACTGCATTTGTCACCATCTTTTTACATCTTCAGTTCATTACTATTTGTATTGCACGCCTAGTATCCCTCACAGAATAAACAACTTTTTCTCATAATATAGAACTCGGAAAGACACCATATATTAACAAATGGCAATGTGAATGAGAAGATCTTTCTTTAGTACTCTCCTTACCCTTTCTGTCTGCCCCTCATTTTCCAGAGAGCCAGACTAGAATAGCTACAGCCAGTGTCATGCACTAGTCCCTCATTCACTAAACACTAATGAGTAAAACTGACAGGAACGAGCCTTGAGCTACCTGCATTTGGCTGAACAAGAATTGTACATCAGTAGGAGCAGATCTATTTTGTTCTTCCAGGCTGATGAACAGACAACCTAGCAAAGGCAATACTGTCTTTGTTTTCTGCTTTGGTTGGCTATGGCAGCTCCTGGTTAGATAGAAAGTTGGGAAACACTTGAGAAGTAATCCACCTAGGTCTTTTGAGTAGCAGCTCTTTAAGATAGTAAGACAAGCAGTTACTGACAATTGCTTTGAACATCCTAATCTTCATTGTGCCAATTAAGATCTTTGCTGTATCTCTCTCTGTGTATGTTGATTAGTAGTAGGTTGCACATTAAATTAAAAAAAAAGAATGGCAAATTCTTCAATGACTTTTGATTGAAAATGTCATCAAAACTTTCTTGCGAATTGCCTTTCTTGCTTGTTTAATCATTGTAGAAAGCAAGTATCTTTTAGCCATAAGTATATGTTGCTTTCTGTTCTTCTACCTATTTCGGTTAGCAAGTGCTCCCTTATTCAGTGTGACAATTCAGAACAACTCCTGAAACATGGAAATACCTATTTACAAAAAGTGCTGCAACAAAATTGTATTTTTCTTTCAAATATTACATTGCTTGAGCAAATGTGCTGCTCATGTCGGAGATCACAAAGGCTATTACATGTTTAGTAAATTTTAAGAAGAAATGCTTATATTTAAGAAAAGGGGCACCCTTAAGGTGGAAAACCTTAGTTGCCTAACATTTCTTGTAACACAATGAGAAATTTAGATTCTATTGGTTTGTGCTATTGAAATGTTGACAGAAGAAACAAATCCATTCTGACAGTATTAATATAAACCTAAATTTGATTAATTTTTAAGAAATTACTCTAGCCTGCATATTAATCTACTTTGAGTTAATAAATGCAATTGGAAAATATTAGTAACAATTTTTTTAAAAAAGGTTACAGTAGAGGAAGAGTAAAATAACAAAAAAACCCACTGTGTAACAAAGTTAATCATAAAAATAAAGCAATAACAAAAGTTGCTTTTATGGTTGCATTTCTCTGTATTCAACAAAAAAGTTGTTTTTTTTTAAATGAGAGCTGCAGTAAAGAAATCCTGAGTCTAAAGTGATCAATTTTTGTAGATTGTAAGAGAAATAAATGACCAATCTACATGCACACTTAGAAGATTTCAGATTGATTTCAAAAATAAGAGAATCTTTAAAAATTTGCCAAATCTTTTAATAGATTAAATTGTTAGAAGCAACAGTTATTTTCAGTGTTGCTGAGATATATCTGTCCCTTATCTAGCTGTTATCTTTAATAAATTAGAAAATAATTTTGACTTAGAAATTTTCAGAAATAGCATATGAAGGCAATAGAGATAAAAAGCTCTATCTATCAATCAATCTATCATCTATCTATAACTATCTTATCTATGAGGGAAAGAGAGTGCTATATATATTTATCTGTGAGGCAGAAAATCTGGCACATTGGTTCATGTACAAGCAGCAAGTTTCTTGTTTCTCTTTTCCATATAATATATATTAGCCAATGCTTTACATTTGGTCTATAAACAGAATGCCATAGTCTCAAACGTTACTTATTTCAGTACTTCCCCAAACCACGCAAATGGATACTACTTTTGTCTGTTCATAAGGCAAAAACACATACTTAAATCTTACATATCAAGTATAAGACTGCTTTTACTTGCAGCTCCTGCCTTCTGTGATTATCAGCACTGGACATAATGTCTTACAGGAATTCACTGAACAGAGCCAAAACAATGGTTTTCATATTTCAAGGATCTTGTCACACAGCTCACAAAGAGTATCATGATAAACTTAAAAGGATGTTTCACCTAAATCTAGATCTTTGATGTGGGGAATTTTTTTTCCAATGGAAAATCTTACGTATTGTAGAATTGGAATTAAAAGTAGTGAAGCTCTCAATATATTTCAAAACATCTGTAACTGCAAAAACAGAATTTGCCTTTTACAGAGTAATTTAGATTGGATTGCTTGAGTGAAAGGGAATGCAGGTTCCAGCTGCTATTATCAATAAATTTGTTATCAGATAATTTACTATTATCCCTGAATTTACTTAGATCATTGGGTAAATTTTCACAGAAATGCATTTCTTAATATGTAAATATTGGAATTGTTAAATAAAATCAAAAATACCAGCAATAAACTGACTGTGAATTCCAGTAAGGAATGGTCTTCAGCCACATAACTGAAATTTTAATAAGCTAAAATATAATTACATCAACAATCCATTAGTATTGTAAACCTTAAATGTTATAAAATGTGAATTATACATTTGTTAACAAAGTTGGGATAGTTCCTAAAAAAAAAAATACTGTAAAGTTTGAAGTATTTGGAAAATTATTCAAACTCTTTACGCCAATAATGGGAGGGGAGGGGAATTATCAAATTTTGTATTACTGTGTATTGGGAAAAAATTTTATAGTGGTGATGGAGTGCCATGAAATTAATACTTAAAATCCAGATTGCTGTAGTTTACACTTTTCTGTATGTTTCAATAATGTGTGCACTATTTGTACTAAGCACACAACAGAATGAATTATCCAAAGTCCATTGATTTTAAATGTGTTTTGGTTTGTTAAAAAGATTATAGTAATTTCTTGCACATTTTTTGAAAAGAATTGTATAAGAATTTATGTATCTGCTTCTAGATACATATAAATAAAAAACATTCACAAAAATCTTTGGTGGATATTTTAATGAAATGTCAAAGATTGTGTAGCCCCCCCTCCCTTCCATGAATTGGAAAAAAAATCGTTCTGCTTCACAATGGATTTATTTCATGATTTTTAATGTAGATCCTTAGTATCCTAGGGAAATTAGATGGCATTAAAATTACAGCCAAAGTAGAGCCATTTCCCCCCCCCAAAAAAAAAAAACCTAGAAGAAAAGGATGTGAGCAGTATGTGAGCCAAATTCAGTTTGTTAGGGCCTCACTCTGAGAAAGAACTGCTTTTATTTTACTCAAACTTATATCCTTGTGAGATCAATAAAATGAAGACCCAGATTGTTGGGGGCAATATGCTGACTCTGTAAACTGCTTAGAGAGTGCTGTAAAGCACGATGGAACAGTATATAAGTCTAAGGGCTATTGCCATGGCTATTTATTGAGAGTTATCTCAAATTAAAATTCCAAAATTGCCTTGTTGTCTTGTTAAGCCCTTTGAAATGCTAGCTTTTGACTTAGCAACTGTTTTAAGCTCCTCCTCTTTGAAAAGGAAAAGGCTGCACAAAGTATAATCGTGCACACTTGCTCCTTGTTTAAGGAGCAAGTGTCTGGGAAGGTCTGTACAAAACCAGTTCCTTGGAAAATTGCTGCTTTCTAACAGAATTTGAGAGTAAAAACTGCTAAGAAAAACCCAACACAATGGAAAAAGCGGTGAAAAGATTAAGAAAGGTTAAAAAGACAAAAAAGGGCATCTAGAAAGGAATTCAATTGCAACTGAGTAACTAAGCCAACACAGCAGTATACAAACTTTAGTATGTATTTATTATAAATAAACAAAATACTGGATTTTGAGCTGTTGAGTTTTCCTTTACTGACATCTAGATGTTGTGTCCACATTTTGGAATCAAACCTTCATATGCCTGCTTCAGAGTTAAATAACAAAGCAGGATAATAGTCTCTGCTGTGGGAATGTATGCAGTTCAGTATGGAGCAACTCCTATTTGTCTAGGTCAGGGGTGTCAAACTCACAACATCATGTGAAATGTTGTGACGTATCACAACTTTTTTGCCATTGCCGGCAATGGGGTGGATGCGATTTCGCTATGATGCATCTGGCCCGCGGGCCGGCAGTTTGACACCCCTGGTCTAGGTGCTTTTTGAAGATGGCTGTCACATCCCCTATTGGTACCAAAAATGCAGAAGTAAAAATTTTGAGTAGAAATAGGCAATCATGACTACTCTGTCCCTCTTATTCCTTCTTTTTGAATAATCTGAGATCCAGCTTAATGCTGAAACCTGTAAATTTCTTTTTAAACCAATTAAAAAGTATATTTTAGTGGGGATGTAGCATGTGACATATGACTCCTGTGTGTAATTCCAACTCTGATTCTAAAAGCATCAAGCTAGAAGGGATAAACCTTTTTGCCTATGTCATTGACAACTCCCAAAACTGCTATGACTTGAATTAATGAAAACAGAAAGCCTTATGCTCTGCATTAAATATAATCTTAGCTTTATCCCCGCTTATTTTTTCCAGTTTTTTTACTCACTGAGAACCTGCTTTGAACTTTTCTTTTACTTAAAAGGAGAGCAGATAAGAAATGAAAATGCTTTGTACATGCTAAACTGCGCTCATTCTAATCTCAAAATGGATGCTGAAGCTTTTTTTCTACTCAGCTAGAAAAAGCAAACCAACCAGAATTGGTCTACCATATCACCCAAACAGAAAAACAACATGGGGCTTGTTTTGAGTGCAGCAACTGGCATAAAGAGGAAATATTAAGGTAACTTGTCGCCAGTCCTTTTTTAGTTCCTGGAGCACTGCAATGAGCTGATGCATAGATTCAGCCAGCTTTCAAAATTTCAATTCACACCTCATTTGGAAAAGGGGGGGAAAAGGAGCATATAAGCCTCCAGGGGACAAAATATGTCTTCCCACCACGTCCCAACCAACAGAAAAGGAAATCCCAAAGCTTCAGCTACCCTTTCAAGATCTGTGACTCATCGCACACTTGGAGATTACACTGCAGCTCTGTCCTAGGAAAAGCAGCATGTTCATGGCCTCAAATGTAGCCTTCAAACATACTCATGTTTGCTGCAGTGTCAAGTTTCCTCTATTTAGTCCTTCAGAGAATCAATATGATAAATGGGCATCAAAGTGATGAAGTGGGTATGTTTATTGTCAAAGGGAAATTGCTCTTTCAACCATCCAAGGAATTATGATAATTTTTCAGTAAACCCTGCACAAGTTGAAAACTGATAGTATTTTCAAGACACTAAATTAGGTACTTCCACAGGTAATCCTTGACTTACAATAGTTCATGCAGTTACAACTGGCCCTGAAAAAAAGTGATTTATGACTATTTTTCACACTTGTGGTGTGCATCCCCATGGTCATGTCATCAAAATTCAAATGCTTGGCAACGATTCATATTTAGGACGGTTGTAATGTCCTGGAATCATGTGAAGATTTGTGATCTTCTGACAAGCAAAGTCAATGGGAAACCAGATTCACTTAACAACCATGTCACTAACTTAACAATTGCAATGATTTACTTAACAACTGTGGCAGAAAATTCATAAAATGAGAAAAAAATCACTTAACAAATGACTCACTTAGCAACAGAAATTTTGGGGTCAGTTGTAATTGTAAGTCAAAGACCACCTGTATTCTTATTTTGCTCACCTATATTTAAACATCCTCCAGGTGCCAGTTGTATAAAGTGTGGAAACTACAGCTCCCAGAATCCCCAGCCAGACTTTCATTCCAACATATTTGGATTGCAGTATTTGAGGGAGGCTACTGTATACACACTCCAAAGTGTTTTTGGCCTACTTCTAAGACTGAAAGAGTTCTAACTGTGTATGTTTTGCAAACATCCCTAAAATACATTGTATTTCAAAAGAAATCTTTTAACTTTAAGTTAAAGGACAATCACGATTACTTCCAGTAGAGCAGTGGTTCTCAACCTTTTTAATGCCGTGGCCCCCAACCGGTCGTAAGTTGAGGACTACTCAACCGGTCATAAGTCAAGGACTACTCAACTGGTGCAGCACCGTTTGCAGAATGGGACTTTTGGCAGGCTCAGCAGGGCAGAGACAGCCTGGACAAGTCCTATTGGCTTTTGAAAGCCAATAGAATTAGACTCTATTCAAGAGAGTCTATTATATTGGCTTTCAAAAGCCAATAGAATAAAAGGGAGTAGCACAGCTAAGGAAAAGGGGGAAAAAATGGCAGACTGTGTTGTTTGGCGACCCCCATGAAATGGTCGTTCGACCCCAAATGGGGTCCCGACCCACAGGTTGAGAACCACTGCAGTAGAGACATATGAAAAATATTAACCTCTGTCAAGTTAAGTAATATGGATATGATTGAAAATTAAGCTTATGAATCTAGCAACAATTTTTCATCTCAAAATCCTGGGATTCTACATTCAGTTTCTGGGCCCCAAACTTGCCTACTCAATACTTGCCTGAACCCAAAACCATCCTAGTGGGCTGTAAGTATTAGTTGTGTGTATTAGTATTAGATACTGCTCTTGAAGTAATATTGACTAGAATGCTTGAGGAGCTAGTAACTGTGTATATTGGTATATGCAGCTGTATGACAATATATTGCTGTGTGTTTCTGTACAATAATACTATGCATTCAATTTTAGTTCATACCTCTAACCTGTAGCAATATGGGGATAATTGTCTTCAATTAATGAGTGCTGATTACAACAGTGCCATTTAGATGTGTCTATTTTTATCCAATGTATTTTTTAAATATTATATTTTCTACTTTCTCAGGATGTAATAAAAGGGTAGTGTTAAAGTTGAATGTCTTAATCCCCAGCATAATAGGGATAAATGATTGTTCAGCCAATCATTTGATTGTTTACAAGCCCATCTGGAATGGAATGGAATGGAATGGAACAACAACTATAGCTTTTTACAGGACTGTGTCATTTGACAATGCAGCAAGATTTAGTTATTACTGTGTAGTTGCTTGCAGTATAGGGAGTACTAAAGATAATACCCAAAGTTGAAAAAATCCTGTGATTCACTTCATTATTTTTCGGTGAAAGGTCACTACACTTTCAATGCTAGCTATACCTTTTCAGCGATGAGTTTAAAAATCTATTGAGCTAACATTACTTTTAGGAGCTGTAATGAGCTCCCTGTTCTGAATGTTTCCTTTCTTATCAGCAAGAAGATGAAGTTGGACATTAAGTAACAGCAAAGCTAGTTATGTTTCTCAGTGTGAGGATGAATGAGAAAGCAAAGAAGGCAAGAAGAAATAAACAAAATAAAAACTGCTTGAAATGGAAAATCTCTCCAGTTTTGAGTCTGCTTTCACTGAAATGTATTGTGGCCGTTGTTGTTGTTTATGCCAATGGTTGTTTGGAAACTTCTTTTTTAAAAAAAATCCTCCTCTTTTCTGCTCTGGAAATAAGGAAATCAAGGATCAGACTTGATTTTCTTATTTCCATAGTTCTTTCTAAACATTTTTCTTGGGATTGGTGAGGAGAATTTCCTAGAACCTCAGTATGTCATACTCCTTGGGGTGTTTTAATTTTTGCAACCATCAAATTAAATAAAAACAGAAATACCATTTTGAAACCACACTGGGCACTCACTTTACCGACCTTGGAAGGATGGAAGGCTGAGTCAATCTTGAGCCTGTGGGAATTGAATTGCCAAACTGCTGGCAGTCGGCAGAATTAGCCTGCAGTACTGCATTCTAACCACTGCGCCACCACAGCTATACCATTAATTGCTATGTCCTACAATTGCCTTATCACTGTGTTCTGTGTAGCTTGCTCAATAAAAAATTGTGTCCATCTTGGAGAGTGCAGTGCTATAGAATAGAGAGAGAACCACTTCCTTCAGACCTATTCACATCATACTCTCTTTTCCAGGTTTTCAGAGATAGACACTGAAAGAGAGAAAGCAGAAGAGGACCATGGACAAAGAGTTAGTATTTATAACTTTGCTAATTAGTTTGAGATAAATTTTGAAGTCCATCTA